ATAAGAATGAAGTCCGATACATTCACACCACCAAAGTTCAAGTCCCTCCCCGTCTTTTCCTTTGCAATTACAGCCTTTAATACCAGGCAATTTGGGGTGAAAAGTGCGAAAATAGGAGATTATCAAGATCGTTCGCCCAGCAGATATTTCGATGTTATTGAAAAGACCCTGTAAGCCAGATGTAACTATGCTCACTTCACCTGTTTTGTAATGCCAAGAACCTGATTTCAACCGCTAAAATCTAATACGTTCACAGACAATCTGCTGCAACCGTTCGAGAGGTTTTAAATTTAGAGCGTATTATTGTTGCTGCCATTTCCATCAGTAACTGCTTGTTTGCGCTGCCAGCTTGTTTCTAGGCAACCCTTGAATTACAGGCAACCAACGAGTGGTTGCTGTCAGCTTTTGCCACCACTCGGACTAGTTCTGACTGCTCGTAGTAAGCAGGTACAAAGTGAAGAGAAGGAAAAGCGAAATGTTGACTATAAATAGCGCGTCTTATTCGGAATCAAATAAGCGGATTTCCTGGGTTTTTACTTGTTAGCTTTTTTTTATCCGGCAAACAGAAATGACCAAAATTTATTAATGAATAGTACCTACGCCGTATGAAAAATGAGAAGGCCCTTGGTGAGAGAATCTGTTGGAATTCTAAGTTGGATGACGCTGCTCAGAAGAGAGAATGGAGAGGTTGTCAGCTGCGCCAGTGCATGAGAAAATGACAGCTTATCAAAGTGAAGTATTAAAAATGACTTAAAAGGCGCAGTACTTGCAGGTATGGTTCCAAAATCGGCGAACCAAATGGCGGAAGAAGGAAGCAGCAGACAATGCATTGGTGAAACGTGGCGAAACGTTGGATTCACAAACACGCCAACAGCAGATGCGTGGATTAACGTCTTTCCTGTCATCCACAAATTAATCTAGTAATCCCAGTTCAGCAAGTAATGCAATCCAAAAATCCTGCTTGCCTTGGGCTAATTGCTTTTTTTAATAGTTTTGAAAATACCAGGAAAAGCCTGTCTGAAAAGCCAAACACGGCTGTTTGGTTTTTTTAAACGTCGTTAAACTTATAGTGCGCAGTACCGCTAAGTTTGCTCGAATTTACCGGTGTCAAGCTCTTAATGTTGTCAAGGTGCAAGCAGTTTTTGTGCATAGCTATGCTAGATTTTCACTTTCATTTAAACGCAACCGTTGTTCTTTCAAGAAAGATTCAGGAAACGGATGCGGGAATTTCAAAGAAAAATTTTTTACGAAAGAACCAAGTCAAAGCCAAGAACAAAATTCATGCAGTATTCGCTCCCTGAGAGGGACGGTGGTACTCGGAGAAACAGCTTAAAAAATTAACTTGTCGAATACAAGCGAAAATTTGCATATTGCCGTTTAATATATTCCTAAGTACCAACAAACGTTATCACAGTAAGGGTATTAAGCTTAATCTGTGATTTTGCGCTGCGAAACTTGTTTTTTTTT